AAGCATGAATTTGTGATTTCATTAGGAATTGAGAAGTATTAACCAGAAGTATTAACCAGAAGTGCATATTTCATCCAGAGAAAGCAGGGAGGCTTCTGCAGAAAATAAAGCTTTAAAAATGTGATCTTTGTATTTTATCCAATTTTTCCTAATTGCAACCAGGTTGCCACATTGGTTTTACCATGCATACCATATGTCAGTCAACTCACTCTCATTGGTAGTTGCTTCAATGACTTGGCTTAAAGTTAAGAGAAGTTTAACTTGGGAGTCACTCCGTTCAAGTTATTTCAATGACAGCTGCTTGAAGTCACAAAGGGTCATCAACCCTTTATGGTCTCTGGTTGCCATGTTGCTATTTCCTGTCTTGAAGCACCGTAATACTTGGTACTGAACATTTACATGTTGGGAAAGACACCTCAATCTTTGTAGGTCAAACTGAAACACATCCCTGATGTGTGTTTCAGACATTAGTTCACACGTCGATGAACTGAGAGTACCCATGACCACCGCACATTATTTGGCATCAACACATTAAAGAGGTGCAATTGTACACACCTGTGCACAGTTCAAATTTAGATCACACATGGAAAGTTTGCTCCCACTTATACCTTCATCCAGTCACGTTGTGACTCATATCTGAATTTGGATGCATGGTTACACTCTTTGCATTGTCTGCACGTTTTAAAGGTAACTGTTGATGTTTACTCACTTTGGATGAGCTGATCTGACGTCCATACAACAGGAAAGAGAGTTGGCCAGGGATTATACTGCACTGAACCTTCTCTCCCCCTGAGCTGACGTTAATGAGGCTCTGAGTGTTTGTTGTTGAGATGAAAATACCCACAATCCCTCAGGAGAAAATTAACCACCTCCCTTCAGAGATTCAACCAAAAAAAAACCTGTGGGAAGCCGTTCACTGCAGAAGAATGTAATTTTTAATTATTATCCTCATCATTTAATGACTTTATTACTTTCTTATTTACAGTTTTTGATTTTTGTTTGAATGTAACAGACGCAGACGAATCCCACGTGGACTGGACTACTCTCTGAGCTTCTCAAAAACTAATAATATGCCCTCTCCAGAGAATAGACCAAATCGAGATGTGTTGTTCATCACTGATTTTTTTAGGTCGGAATCCACACATCCCGAAAGAACTCAAATAATGAATAAGTCATAGTCATAGTCATCCAGACATTAGACACTAACCAGAATTATCAATTCCTCTGAAACGCCTTTGGAGTGCATATTTAATTTAGCCTGTTTCCAGGTGATAGGCATGTCCCACTGGCCCAGTTTATTTACAGTTGATGTCTCTAATAGGAACTGGCAACAGTTGCCATGGAGCAGCGAATCAAAAGTGTCTGCTCTCCAGAGACAAAGCCAGACCAAAATATGCACACCTCCCTGAGGAAGCCTGAGTCCACCAGTGAATATTGTTTAGTTACAGACTAATCCCTGGGCAGACAGAGTTTGATCACTTAGCTTCATGATGTCAGCGTTAACATGTTGTTTAAGAAATAATAAATCCGTCTTAATCTGTGCTCTAGAGCTAAAACAGGGGTGCATTCTCTGATCTAGATTTCATCTAAGGATAGACTAACCAGGATTTAATCAGGGTTTAAATGGTTAGTTTTACAGCTAAATCCAGAACTACTTAAATATTTCTGCAATAATAGAGTTCAAACTCAAGCTTGCCATGTTACTGGCATGCACATCCAACACATTTTTGTGGAAAATCAATCTTCAAAAAATACTCAAAAAAAAGTTGCCATCAGGCCATAGCGAGCTGGTCCGGATGTTTCCAAACAATTCCCAGGAGACGGCAGCAGCAGGGAGAATTTCATGGTTTGATCCACGAGTTTAAACAGCTGCTTTTGTAGATCTTTCAGGATGTCAGTGGGGCAGTTTGGGCTCTTGTTGGCAGAGTAGGGCCCACACGTGAGAAGGCAGAGAAACCATTTCAGACTGCTGACTGACCCACGGCAGCCTCTAGCTGAGTGTCTGAGGTAAAATAGTATTACTTTACTATTTGCATATCATTAAGTATTTGGTACCTGTACGCGATTTGTGTAACGAGTGTGCCTGTTGCCAAATGCAGTGATCTGATTGGTCAGATCTGTTTTTTTGGTTCAGAAAAATAGAGCTTGGTTTTTAAAAAAGTAAATACCACAAATTCATCCAATGAAATTACACGGTTGTGAGGACAGGTGTATTAAGAATAGCTTGGTCCGAAAAATATTTTTAATGCATGAAATATTTGCACATCTGATGTGTAAAGGCCTTAACTCAGGAGTCATTTTTATCTGAAATGCTACAATACATGATTATTATATAATATAAATACTCTGATCCAGTAATAATCTATTTTAAATATATACTCATATATATTTTTGTAGTACTGTAAATCAGCTTATGTTCAGTGTATTTAAACTGCCATCTTACTTACTGCCTGAATACTGTAATCCAGGACTAAATCACAGCCTAAGTGCTAAATCCAAGAATTAAATTCTCTAATAAAGGATTTGCTCTAATCCAGAACGCCTGCAGAATTAAAATGCTGAAACATAGAACAAACTTACAGCATAATCGCTCTGATCCAGGATTATCTTCGTCCCCAGGACTCTAATAGTTCTCTAGTCTTGAACTAGTTGAAAGATAAATCACTCAAAGTCTGAGTACTCTTAATATCCAAACCCAGGATGTCAAAGCAGGATTAATCCAGAACCTAGCTATTATAATCCTGGATTCTTTTAGTATTAATGACCTTTCACAAATCCATACCTAATAAACAGCATAACTATCTAATCCAAGTTTTAAAAAGGTCCTATTCATTATGTCTGACAGGTGTATGATGGGAAATGAAGTACCTTCTATCTGCTCAACTCTTCACCCTCTCTATCTCCTTTCATTTTCCACTTTCTACTAATCAATTGACTTATTATTATTGATATCTGTAATAAAGGGAGTAAAAGAAACACACACACACACACACACACACACACACACACACACACACACACACACACACACAGAGTCGGGTCTTTAAAGCTCCAGCCAATTAGCTAATGGCTCGTTAAAGATGGCGTCCATTAGAGCTACTAATCAATCAGTTAAGCAGAACAGATGAGGATTTAATTGATCTGCTTCAACTTTCCTGACCACATGATGCAGTCGCCACGGCAACCACATGGGACAAAAATGATAATGAGGCTGAGTCAGCACAACTGTGTGTGTGTGCATGTAACACGCGCTTTGTTATATAAATTATGTGTAGATATTAACTGTTGAGGACAGGTTAATGTCTCTTTTCCAGGAGAGGTTCACTTTGTTTAATGGAGACATGAAAGGACTGCTAAAAGGCTTTAGTAGACACTGGTCCAGGAGTTTGGGGCATTCGGTCTCTGTTTCTAGTTTTAGTTTAACACTGGATAGGAATTTATGAGCTATGCTGCAAAAACAGACACTAATGCTAAATGTGACCATAAATACCCATGAAACAGAGAAATCACTGGAAAAATAGCTGCACAAATACCACAAAATTATAAACAGTTAGTTCAAAATGCAAAATTACTCAAACGGAAACAAGTGAAAATGTTGCTTTGAAGAGGAAAAGTCTTGATGCATGCTCAATCATCCAGGAAATCCCAGAAGGTTGATTCTGTTCATCTGGACGTTTTCAGTGGGAGGAACATTTCATCACTCGTCCAAGTGACTTCTTCAGTCTCAGCTGACTGCAGGTTTCCCAACCTTATAGACAGTACATTTGCACAATAACTGACACTAGCACCACTGAATGAACAATGGGCTGGGAGGTCAGGTTCTTGATCATTAATATGCAAATTGTCATGACCATTGATCAACAACCACTGATCAAAGCACATTGATCAATGGCCCTGAGTACCATTGAAGAAATGAGGAAGTTACTACAAAGAAACACACATTTACTACAAAGATTTATTAAACTGCTCCAAAAAGACAAAAGGTTGCCACAAAGAAACACAAAATTGGTTCAAAAACAGAAAGATTGCCATAAAAACATACACATTTATAGCAAGTTCAACAGAGTGACACAAAATTAATACAATTCCTTCATAGACACAGAAAATTACTACAGGCATGAAATTACTCCAAAAAACAAAACACATATAGCAAATTAATCAAAAACTTTGAAAGGGGGAACTTTTTCCCAAGAGACACAAAAATACTACAAAGATTATATTAATTTGAAAGACAAATGTTTGCCACAGAGAAACACAAAAAGAACAAAAAGTTTCTACGAAAATACATAAAATTACTCCAAAAAAGACTAAAAGATGCTACAAGGAGACATAAAATTACTACAAAATAGAAAAAGGTTTCTATAAAGAGATTCAAAATTCCTCCAAAAACACAGTTTGCATGTTCTCCCCTGTTTCCTGGGTTCTCTCCGGGTACTCTGGCTTCCTCCCACAGTCCAAACACATTAGTGTTAGTGGGGTTAGGTTAACTGATAAGCCCTTCGTCAGATTGGTGACCTGTCCAGGGTGCACCGGGCCTCTCACCCTGCGGTAGCAGGGATGGGCTCCAGTCCCTGTGACCCTGACAAGGATAAGTGGAAGAGAATGGATGTCCAAAATTACTCCAACAAGTCAAAAACAGACACAAAATTACTCAGAAAGTATTTTTTTTAAGTTCCTGAAAAGAAAGGGACACAAAATTAGAATAAAAAGGTTTAAAAAATGTGCCATAAAGAGAGAAAATTACTACAAATACACAAACCTTCCACAAAGAGACAGCAAATTAGTAGAAAAAGTTAGTTGTTTTTAAAGTTTCTACAAAGTGAGAGAACATTAGTATAAACAGATATAAAACAGACAGTGTCTACAGGGTCTGGACAGGACAACATGGCTAAGTTTGGATAGCGCTTTACTTTAGCATTCTGCCCCGTCACACTGAAGCCTGGACCCCAGATATCTTCACAGTGGCAGTATGCTGTTTTCAGCATCAGTGAGCTGTAGTTTTATCAGCACAGACAGCAACAATACAACAATACAACACAGCCACACAATGAGAGCAACCACATGTGGAGGACGGGTTTGTGTGTACGTGTGCTTTGACTCTGGGACTGCTGCCCATGAAGTCTCATTAATTTCATGGCAACAGGCCCACTGGACTACAGACAGAGAGCTAAACCTTCTGCTGATGAAGCTGTGTTCAAACACCAGCAGACAAAACTGTTCCACTGTGCTTCTCTGGTGCTGGCTGCTTCCACGGTGTTTGTTGGTTTTTGTAAGGACCCGTTTTACACCAGGTTTTTCCCCAGCCATCATTTTTTTTAAGTCCGCTTTTTTTTTTCTTTTTTCTATACACAAATCCTGTGTTCAGAGCCAAACTGGGCACCAACCAAAGAACGTCACAATAGATATATATTTTTAGGAGCACACAGAAGTGATTCAAGAACATGTCTAAAATTTTCTCAAAGTGAAACCAGACCTGTCAAAAAAGTGCACAGTCACAGCTGTTTATATGCTGCTGCAAAATTGGTATCGTTGTTTGTTTTTGCTTTATTTTCTGTCAAATATAAACTGTTGCAGTGCTGGATATTAATATGAAACATGAACAAAGTTGCAGTGGCAATAATAAGATCATCTCAGGCACACAGCTGTAGCTGTGAGCGCAGACGTCTTTGTTTGCAAGCAGCAGCCAATCAAAAGAAAACTGGCTTAAAAGTGGAGGAACTAAAATTGTTTTTTCAGACTGAGGCGCTGCACCAAGGCCCAACATCTGCAAATCATGAAAAGCTACTCTAATGGAAATCCAATGAGAATATAAGGAGAAAAAAGCGAATCCGAGTATTTTGTAGAGTTGGTTACTCCAGGGTCTTCAACTGTGTGTTTAATTTTACGTCATAATTCAGACTTCAGAGTTATCACTGAGCCATGACTGCACCAAGGACTAAGTAATGTGACACTAGCCACAAAATCGTAGCAAGCCTTAAAATGCAGGGGTAAAAAGGGCAGACCTGCTAATAAATGATGCTAATAGCAGACTAATAAAAACATTAATTTCACTCACCAAAACTGAAACATGGACGTCTTAGGCAATCAAACCACACAGCAAATCATTTTATTTGTCAATTAATTTAATTAAATTGTGCAAAAAACACCAGCTGCCTGTGTCTGCATGTCCAGATATCTCCAGATGCGTGACTTAAAAAAGAAAATCATCCACCATAAAAACAACAATGAAAAAAACGCCACAAACATGTTATGAAGGTACTTTTTGTAAGTATGCTATACAAATTAAACCAGGATGTTTTCAGGTCGGTGGTCATCTCTGTAGTAAGAAATATGAAGCTGATTTGATTGGTTGGTTTGAGCTCCTCCAGTGTATGACTCCATTCTGTCCAAAACCTCTCAGTTAAAAGCCAACGTATTAGCAATGTCTTACTGGTGGGGAAGAAGATTCCAGATTATTCAAAAATTGTTCTACTTGCACTCACCAAAACTGAAGCACAACCTTCCTGTCAATACCTGCCAATGGATGTGGCCACAACCTGAAATATATTCAGCCGTCCTTGTTTTAAAAAAGAAGAATCTTTCTAAATCTGTGTGTACCAGCAGGTGTCACCAACACTGAACCCTCTGATGCTTCAGTCAAATCTGGACACGTATGACTGAGCTCATGTTGTGTCTGAGCTTGAGAGGTGACATCATGGTGGTGGTGAGGTCATACAGTAGATATTACTGATGGCGGCAGTCACTGTGCCAGCATAGAATATTCTATTACAGGGTGTGTGCGTGTCCACTCAGCTCTCTCATCTTTAATAGATGCCATCTCTTCCACTCGAAGAGTTCCTGCCGTCTCGCCTCCATCAGACACATCTGAGGACTCTAACCTGAAACGCTGCTTTCGTGAAATTTAAAAACATCTCTGAGGATTATTGTGTTTGTTGTTCAGTTCTGTGATCCTGAAGCTTTCACAGGGAATGTTGATGCCATTTCTCATTCGGTTTTAGTTAACTGAATATGAGTCATTCAAACACGAGCTTCTTCCTCAGCACTGTTGCCGTACAGTAAGAGGTTCGAGGGTTCGATATCGTTACCTTCACGTTCTCTGTGTGTCTGCGTAGGGTTCCCCTAAAAGCTTCATCAAAGACATGGTAGCATAATTCTCAAAGCATTAACTGTATGTGGGCTTTTATTTTGAAGATTTGCTGGAGTCTGTGTTTTGTTCCTGTGTCTGACTTTCTGGGTTCCTCGGCTGCTTCTGCACAGCTTATGCAAAACATAATCCCACCACTATTTTAAGGAACAAGGAGTGCAGAGCTGCTTCTGAAACGTGCTGTGAAGCATGTGCTGGAAATGCAGGCGTGCATATTGAGTGGGTGCAGTCAACTCTGGAACACGTCACAAGTGCACCGGATATATTCCTGTGGGTACAACTCTCTGTTTCTATTTATGACGCTTAGTCACACAGACCTAGAGACTAGTCGGCAACCCTCTGACAACCTCCGGTTGCTAAGGTAAAACGTAGATTCCAGTTGATTGCTGGAGGTTGTTGCCTGTCGTTTTTTTTTTTTTGCCAAAACCAACGTGTTTCAAAAGCTAAAACTTTTATTTTGAAGGAGAACAGTCTTCCTTTTCACTTTGTATCACACTCCTCACAGTTTCTCGACTGCTAAGTGAGTATTTGCAGTCACATGTTGTGACTGGTTTGTGGCCATATCCCAATGGTTTGGTCCCATCGGGGAAAATCTCCCAATAGCCTGAACGTCATTTTGCCCTTTTCTGACTGCTTAACGTGACCAGTGATGATACACAGTCAATGGACGTCTCAGAATTTATTTATATCACGCCAACTAAAGAGAATACACTCTCGAGCCAGTTTTATTGTGAGGTAAAGATCCGAAATTATTACAGAGAGAACTCCAATGATCAAATGTTCCCATATGAGCAGTGCTTGGGAGAGCTGAGGAGAAAGAATGCTCTTTGAAGAGGAAGAGGCGTTTTGGGAGACCCGGGCTCTGAACTCATCCAGCTGGGGGGTGAGGGGAAAGAGACAAGACGAAAAGATGGGGCATAAAGAGACTGAAATCAATCAAACTGGGGGCTGGTTCCAGAGAAGAGGGGCCCAATAGCTGAAGGCTCTGCCTCCCATTCTACAGGGTGGGCCATTTATATGGATAAACGTAATAACATGGGAATGGTTGGTGATATTAAAGTCCTGTTTGTGGCACATTAGTATATGTGAGGGGGCAAACTCCTCAAGATGGGTGGTGACCATGGTGGCCATTTAGAAGTCGGCCATCTTGGATACAACTTTTGTTTTTTCAATAGGAAGAGGGCCATGTGACACATCAAACTTATTGGTAATGTCACAAGAAAAACAATGGTGTGTTTGGTTTCAACGTAACTTTATTCTTTCATGAGTTATTTACAAGTTTCTCTTTGTTCACAGCCATTGACATGTCGAAGAGGTTAACACGTGAGAATCGAAATTGTGTTGATATCTGGTGAACGCAGTAACTGGGTCATTGCAGCAGATTTCAATGCAAGACACCCTACGAGACCACCCATCTCCCATGCTACAGTTAGCAAACTGCTTGCTAAGTTTCGTGAAACTGGTTCAGTGTTGGATTTGCCAAAATGTGGACGCAAGAAAACTGTCACTAATGAAGAAACATCAGTGGCTGTCCTAGCTTCATTCAGCAAGAGCCCACAGCGTAGCACTCGCCGTATGTCACTGGAGAGTGGCGTTAGTCGAACATGCCTTTGGTGGATATTAGCTAATCACAAATGGCACCCTTACAAACTCCAACTACTGCAGCATCTCAACGAGGATTTTTGTTCAGTGATGAGGCAAACTTTTATGTGAATGGTGAAGTTAACAAACAAAACCACCGCTATTGGTCTGAAACTAACCCACATTGGATGGATCCCTCCAAGACTGTTGGAACAGCAAAAGTGATGGCTTGGTGTGGTATATGGGGTACAACGATAGTGGGTCCATTCTTCATCAATGGAAACCTCAAGGCCACTGGATATTTGAAATTGCTACATGATGATGTGTTTCCCTCTTTATGCACTGAAGCTGGCACGTTCCCTGAGTTTTTCCAGCAAGATGGTGCATCACCACATTATGGGTGCCAGGTCCGAGCATTCCTAGATGAACAGTTTCCTGGAAAGTGAGTGTGGTCGTCGTGGGCCAGTTGAATGGCCCCCAAGGTCTCCCGATCTGACCCCCTTAGACTTTTATCTTAAGGGTCATCTGAAGGCGATTGTCTATGGTGTGAAGATCCGAGATGTGCAGCACCTGAAACTACAGATACTGGATGCCTGTGCTGGCATTTCTCCTGCGGTGTTGCTATCAGTGTGTGAAGAGTGGGAGAAGAGGGTTGCATTGACAATGCAACACAATGGGCAGCACATTGAACACATTTTATAAGTGGTCAGAAACTTGTAAATAACTCATGAAAGAATAAAGTTACGTTGAAACCAAACACACCATTGTTTTTCTTGTGACATTACCAATAAGTTTGATGTGTCACATGGCCCTCTTCCTATTGAAAAAACAAAAGTTGTATCCAAGATGGCCGACTTCTAAATGGCCACCATGGTCACCACCCATCTTGAGGAGTTTGCCCCTCACATATACTAATGTGCCACAAACAGGACTTTAATATCACCAACCATTCCCATGTTATTACGGTGTATCCATATAAATGGCCCACACTGTACTTTTAGAAACTCTAGGAAGCACAAGTGAGCCTGCAGCCTGAGTGGGAAGTGCTGTGTTGTGATTATACTGTGAGGTCTTTAAGATACGATGGGGCCTGGTCACTCGGGGCTTGTTGAGGCTCCGGACAGGAGCAGCTAGTTCACAGGAAAACAAGATCATTCGGCTCTTTGTGTTGCCCCGGAGCCACCTGTCAGCTTACAAAGAATCTTTCCTGTCAGATTTTGCTCCTGTAAATCAAAAACAGACTTGAGTCTAATCGGGTTTACAGCGAATGGCTGAACAGAGCGTCAGTTAACCACAGACCCAATTTAATTCCGTTATGGAAGCTAATAATGTGAGTGAAGTCATCCATAACAGCCGGGAGTGATATTTCTCAGATGTCTCTAGTGATGTTGAGGTCATTTATTGTTTTGTTTTTTTTTTATATTTTTTATTTATTTTATTTTGCTGTGTTATAAGTGAACACCCTTCTCTGTGTCTGACGTGTTGTGACTTTTATTGTGAAATCCCAGAGAGGCTGCAAATAGTCCTAATGAGCCGCAGAGGTTAAACCACCTGGCAACAGCCGGGAAGCTTTTGCATCATTTATGATAGGTTCTGAGCTGGTCACATGATGCTACGTGTCATATTTAATGAATGAAGTCTGGCCATCATATTAAATCTTCACGTTTACAGCAGAAGGAACTCAGTCTAAAGTGTTCTTATATGGCCAGCTGTCTCGTGACCGCTTCTTCTTTTGAAATATAAATGAAAGGCATTAACACCTGAGCACCAGAAGGATGCTCGGGTTTGCCTTTTTCCTTCTTATAGCTTGAAAAGAAAGATTATCTGGCATTTGATGAAAAGTTCACAAAATGATTTCTAACAATGTCGGGAAGATTAAACAAAATGTACCAAGAAAAGTCTTTAAAACCCTCAAAGGTACCGTCAGTTATTATATAGAAAAAAATGTTGCTCTCATTAATGTACATTGATTAGAGTGTAGTTACATCTTCCAAAAAAACTGATATGTTCTTATAAACTTAGGCCTTGGCACCAGTTTGTGGAAGTCGCCATGCTGAGCCGCCATCTTGAATACAGTGGCTGAAATGGGCTTCGCCCTTCCACCTAATCGCATTCATGTATGTAGTACACCGTATAAGTTACTTTTATCACAAAGAGCTCTTTTAATTTATAAATAAAAGTGTAACATTTGGACATTAGATTTTTACCTAATTTTGCTTTTTTATGAAGCCAGCAGGACAACGGCAGGATTCTCCGTGAGGTCTCCAGTCTGGTTATAAGATCCATGATCCATTATCCATAAGCCAAAGTCCTGTACACGAAAACCAGGAATGAGAATTGTAAAACATTTTGCATATAAAGGAATATATTACACGTAAGGGTCAAAGGTCATACTCAGCCAGTCAGTGATGTTCCTTCACCTGTCACAGCAGTATAATCATCCGTCTTCTCCTGTTAATCTGGAACATAAGGAGTTAATCTGTGACTCACAGCATCTCATTCATAACCGAGACCATCAAAGACTTTTCTTCATCCTGTAATCCCTCGCTGTTACTAATCCCTGTCTTCTCCGCTCTTCTCCATCTTCCTTTATTTCCAGTTTTCATCATTTATTCCTTTTCTGCGGGATCCTTAATCTGCTTCTCGCTCCGCTCACATCGCCATATTCTCTCTCCTCGCTCTGCGTTGGCTTCTTTCGTCTTCTGTATTTTTATACCCCTCATTTCTGTGCGTCTCCATTTCCTTTATCTCGTCTCAGAGTACTGAAAGTAACAAACCATCAGGCTTTCAGAAAATGATCACAAAATTATTTGGGAGATGCTGGTTTGGACTGACATGTTTTCCCTGATGAAACCCACCTGCTTCTCTTGTCTTCCTGTCAGCAGTTGGTCTGCATCTCCACATGTACAGTAACTCTTTCTAATAGCGATGGATTATTTCCTCGTAGTCCTTCTGCAGAGCAGCAGGATTCACACAGGGAGAGCTAACCGTTCCTGACGTGCTGTTTGTGGTTGTTTCGTGCTTTTGTGGCATGTTGAATTATATTTTGTTTTGCGAGTTTGTGGTAAGCAAACGACTGAAAAATGAAGCCTCAATGCCAAAAACCTGCAGCTCCTCTAATGGCCACTAGAGGCTCTCTGGAAAGTGAATCAGCCATGAAACTACCTGCTGTAGAAATCACTTTTGGTCTCTTACTACTAACAAATTTTCAGGGATTTCCTTTAATAAGTATCTGAGTTTTTTTAAAGCTTAATGTTTCTGGCGTCGTTGACGGGTGTACCTCCACTGCTTCACCTCCACTGACTTCAGTCACTGAACCTTTCCTCTTTGTGCTGTTTCTCCCTTATGGAGAATTTTTTTTATCAAATTATCTGACGAATTATGTGACTTGATGTAGGGTTCGAGAAGTCTGTGCTTCAGTTTTGGTGATAAAAGTCTTGTATTTTATTAGTCTGTTGCTCAGCCCTGATTGGCAGATATCTGTATAGTTTAGTTTATGGAAGCTGCTCTCCGTAGCAGAGCCAAACTATTTACTTATTTATGTATTTGATTTGCATATGGCTGTAGGCCAAATATTCTTGGTGTTTTTTCTTGCTCCTATGTGCAAAGCAGGGCTGAATTCTGTAAGCAGAGGACATATATGAGGTTGTATGATATATTATCTGATTAAACAAAAATCTGGAATCTTTTTGCTGAAAGCTAGTTGCAGTCTGAGCAGGCTGTTGTGCCCATGTGTAAAAATGCTTCTGCAAAATAAAGAAATAAAAATGTGTGGTAGCTGCTGTGCCACACATTGAGCCATGGTCTTGGGGAGGTAGGCTGTTGTTTCTCTCTCTGTGTAGCTCTGGGCACTTTCATGTCTGGCACCAGCTTTGAGTGGGTCAGCTCTGCGTTCACCCCCACACACCTGCAGGTTGTTTCCAATTGTGTGGCTGTGTATTTAGGAGCCAGCTCTGGTGATGGATCTCCACCTGATCATTATTTCCACCACGGGCAATTTGGCTCCGTTCTTCATCCTCGTTTCCCCAAAGTTGCTTGTCGTCTCCTCTGCAGAGCTTCGTACCCAAAGACTCACTCTTACCTCTTCTATCTCAGTCGCAGATTCTGTCAGCAGTTTCGTTGTATCCGTGTGGAAAACTTTCCTGTCACTGGAGACTCACCTGTCCACCCACTGTCCACCACCCGCACCAGAAGACTCTGTCAGCCTTTTTGCAAATACCCCTATTATCGTATCTCTGCAAAGTAAGGCTAACAAACACACTAATCAAAGCAGCCATTCATACTTCTCCACTTACCTGTACTGACTCCCTTCCTCTCCCTCCACAGACCCTCTCAGACCTGCGGTGCTGTCTTTTGTTCCTGCCTGCTCCAGTTCCTGTTATTTACTTCACTCATGTAAACACTGTAAACCTGCTTTTCACTGTCTGAGTCTGCTTCCTGGGATTATTTAAAAAAGGGCAATCATGACAATCAGGATGTTTGTATGTTTTACCTGTCAGTCCAACCAAACACAATATAAACCATTACAGAGAAATCTGAGGGGGATTTCTGAGAATCTAAAAACGCCTAAAGAGCATCTGAAACTTGGCTCACTGTGTCCGTAACGTAAATGATCACGGAGTCTGTTCAGTGCTCTGATAGCAAAGATGAGCAGAGGTACCGGTCGTGTCAGCACTGTGGACCGAGCCGTTATTGGAGTTGTGAAGTTGTGTTTAAATCATAATTTGGGGCAAAACTTTTATATTTTTTGAAGCACTGGCCTCTGAAAATAAAGTTATTTCTTTGTCCTTCTCATTTCACTATGGGCTTCCAAATAAATGCCTGGATTTGTTCCAAGATGGCTGCCTAGCTGTGAGACTTGCTTCCAGCAGGACTTTGCTCTGGCTCCAACAGACCAACATGGCTGAGGCCAGAAGGCGAATGTTGAGGCTTCAAAATGTGGAGCCCAGAAACCAGTGGGGCCATCATGTGTGGTTACATCATTATCTCCATCTTTATCTTTCTGATCATTTTCTAGAATCTCTTCTCCTCCTTTCATCCTTTCACGCCCTCTCGTCTTATTTGCTACTTTCCTTTTCCTTCATCCTTCTCTCCTGTCCAGAGTCCATTTTTTCTTCCTCCTCTTGCCTATATTTCACTAATCGTTTTATCCATGCAGCATGACTCTCACTCTCTCTCATGCACACACACATGCACACAGCAGAAGGACACATTACCCCCTGTATGAACCGACTCAGCTCTGCCAGGATCAGGGGGGCTGCACAGTGCTGATAACACTCTCTCTCTCTGGAGACTTCAGCCGTCTCTGGTTTCATGTTGCGGCCGATCGATGAGTCTGAAGAATATTTCTGTCAGAACACACGAAGACTTAAAGACAGAACCAACAATGAGATGGCGAATACGATGAAGCATGCACAGCAGTTAGACGTGATGTGTGTCGAGACGGAGGCCGAAGCCTGAAAGACCTCAGAGGATCAGAGTCTGCTTCACGTCTGCTGGTGTCAGTTTATCAAACACGATCCAGCATCGTGGGAAGTGCTGCCAGCGCCCCCTGCAGGCTGAAGGCTTCAGCTCATCTGAAACTGGACACATCTCAGTCCCTTCAGCTGAACCTCACTCTGCTTTTTTTCATATAAGCATTGTTCCAGATTATCTTCAACTGCTTTCTTAATATTGTTTCCATTTCATGCATCATGCTGAGAGTTACAAAGAGAAAAAATGGTGTAAGCTCCCCTACAGTCTGCAAAAAACATAGCTTTTCACAAGTGTTTGTGTTGTTCTGTAAAATATATAAGTAGCAAGGTCCTAAATCTGTTAAAGTTTAGACAACATTAGTATCTGAAACAGTAAATCCTGTCAGCGGTGATGCAGGGTTAACAGTTTGGATAGGTTGTTGCTATAGTTTGACTGAGATGAGACAGTAAGAGCTTTGCATCTTGCAGGACTTAAATACCAAAGTACCTGTTCAGCTCCTGCAGCCACGGTTGGACCCGAGTGCAGACACAGACCACAGGAAGAGCTAAAAGGTTTATTAACAACATAGAGATTTTGCTGTAAAGATCATTTCAGGGCTCCTCTCAGAAGTGGAGAAGAGAGGGCTGCAAATTTAACAGGTGAGTGAGCAGGAAGCAGGTAAGTGATCTGGTTTTGAATGAAAGTCCAATTAATTCCAAACAGGTGCTGAGACAGTCCAACTGAGCTGTGAGAGAGCACACCAATAGCTTCTTGGAAAAGGAGACAAGCTGAATACCAAGAAACTAGACCAAGAGGAAGAACTAAGTGAGCCTGATGTAACCGCTGAGACGGCTGTATGATCAGGTAAAGCTGGAGACGACTAGTGCTGCAGGTAATCGGCAGATGTGTATCAATGAATTGCACAGCACCATGCGGAGACTGGCCCTCTCAGCGATCTCCATCATCAGGCCAGAGACTTTATTGCAATTTATAGTTTGTGCAGTTCACCTGATAACAACCCTAACAGGGTTTAAGGTTAGGCTTTGCTTTTGCTTTAGCAACATGCTAAACAGGCTAATAACCTTTAAATTAAAGAAGAAGAAGAAGAAGAAGCCATCTTTCATTTTTCCATTTCGTGTTCAAAACAGGACAAGACTCTTACCTCTATCTAAAAGTTATGCCCTTTACATTTTTATATAATATGGTGCCATTTTTGGAGCATTTCAAATTGCTTTACATCAATACAACCATTAGATCCCATATTTTAATAATATTCATTGATTAACACCACAGTTACAACATAAACTGCTAAAATTCACTATAAAGGGGTAAAAGGGGGCTGATATGGATGGCTGAATGATCAATACCCCCCACTCCTATGGTGCATGAGTTCAGCAAAGGTCCTCACAAAGATATAAGCACAAACCTTTGTGTGTGTGTTCACTATAATGACTTATTAATCTGTCCATCGCTCATCCGCTCGCTTTAGCCACTTTTAAGATACTGCACTTTCAGTCGGGTTTCAATTGGCTGTTTAGAAAAAGCCATCATCCAATGAAGCATGCTGCTGCCTCTGTGTGTTTCTACTCCACCCGACAACTGAAGGAAACCTTTTAAAGAGTTTAATGTGTGATTTAGGATGTCTGAGCTGGGGTGAGGAGTAGAAGTAGGGAGGGGGAAGAAAACCAGAGCGAGAAGAAGAAGAAGAGAGAGTGGTGGAAAATTCTAAAAACAGACAGAGAGGGAGATAAACAGTCTTTATGAGCGCTGACATTTTTATGAAGCAGAGTGAGTGTGTGTGCATGTGGTCTTGTTTTTCTGTTTTTATGGAGTCTGAGATTGTGTGTGTGTGTGTGTGTGTGTGTGTGTGTGTGTGTGTGTGTGTGTTGTGTGTGTGTGTGTGTGTTGTGTGTGTGTGTGTATGTGTGTGTGTTGTTGTGTGTGTGTCGCACTCTGCTGCCCTCAACAGCTACTGGCTGGTACAGCAGCAGAGGTACTTTTTGTAAATTCCTGTTTAAAAATAAATAATAATTTCAAACATCAACAGAATGTAACAACCAGTTAATATCATTTTATGTCCCAATAGATCTGAATATGAATTAAAAACAGGCCCATGCTAGCTTTCATGGAGGGCGCAGCAAGTCTATGTAAGCATTATTTAATTAGTGAATTGAGCACATCTTCATTTATAATGTGGACCTGGCAAAGACAAAGCTGCTCAAACAAGTCACACATCCACTAGTAAAATTACAAAAACTGCATAATTACATCAAATCTTAGTGCAGCATATGCAGAAACATGTACAAAAAATGTCTAGCAAGGTTTATGTGTTGTTGTTTTTTTATTTTATTTATTATTTGTTAAGACAAGATAAGATAACTCTTTATTGTCATTGCACAGTCATACATAGTAGAATGGTACAATGAAATTGGAAAACTGTCCCACGTCAGCAATACGTACAACACAACATGACACGACACAACATGACACCGTAACTTAACTTAGTGTCCTGGGTGTGTACAGTCCCGTACAAAGCTGCGTGCCCTCTTGAGACAGCGAGTGTTGTACAGGTCCTTCAGAGAGGGAAGAGGATGTCCGGTGATTTTTTGGGCCATATTAATGACCCTCTGAAGTGCAAAGGTGAAAAAATCTAATATATAAACAAAATTAAGAAAAATTCCTTCCTTTTCTGGGACTGATCTTTTAATTGACTGAAGTTAAAAACATGGCCTGTGGTCTGACTAATCAATATTTTAAAATCCTTTTGATAATCACGGATACAGCGTTCTCCAGGTTAAAGAGGAGAGGGACCACATAGGTTATTAGAGTCCATTTTTTCCTTTGGTATGGGTAATATGCACCTCTGTGAAGGCACCATTAATGCTGAATGTTAGTAAAATAACAAAAAACAAAAATGCGTGTTCCAAACTGGCCCAACTGTCCTCCAGACCCAATGAAGACATTTACTACATTATGAAATATGGCAAAAATGTTAAGCAGCTGTAATATCCCAACCATTTAAACCATTGTGATGACCTAAAGATCATGTTAGAATAAAAACAAAACCCCAAAAACAAAACAATAAAGTCCAGTATTTTCAAAGGTGTAATATTGTCTTTTAATGATTTCTAAATTATTCCATCCTATTTTTAGTTTTTTTTAGTTTTTTTTAAGTCAGCTGTAATTTAGGCCTCATGACATGAAAGTACTTTCATTTTGACTAAAGATCAGTAAGGATTATGAGAAAACATTTTTGCCATGGGACCCTTGGTTCATGCAGGTCTTTATCCAGTCACAGGCCAATGAAAACAAAAAAAAACAATACAATTAATGTGAATCTGATATACTTCAGACATAGTTGTTTGCATTTATATTATTTAAATAAATATTTTTTTAAATACAAGTTCCACATGTAAATAATTACCTGTGGAAATAGAACAACAGAGCAGGCTCTTGTCCTTGTTTTGAAGCAGGCCTGATTTTTATGGACAGTGTCTCCCTCTGTTGGATAGACTAAGGAACTACTAATTAAGTGAGCGTTTAATCTGTCTCCTACATATTTTATATGTATATCGTATTTGATACAAATAAAATGTAACATGCTACAAAACATGGTGGTCTAAATTTAAGTTAATTTTTTTTCAGAGATTAAAATCTCATGTGCAGAGACTACACACAGATCGTAGTATTTCATTAATTCGTGGCTTATGTGCGTACACCTCCAACAATATGTTGTTATGAGGCTCATGTGTACCAAAAAATAAAATAAAAATTTACACAATAAATGGTGAATTTGAAAAACATTCAAATTAATTGAAATGCAATTAATTATCACGTTAAAAAGCAATGTAAGCTACTAAAGGAATTTACTGGAATTATTGCATGGTATTTTTCATTCAACAAAAGATGTAATATCACGTGAGGTACAAAAAGATAATAATTATAAATTCATTAAATGATTACTATAGAACAATAAAGTGACGCAACGATAGGTCACGTGCCTCAGCCCTTCCGGCTCCGTGTCCAATCATATTTCAAGATGAGCTGGCACTAAAATACCCGGAAGTGCTTACAGCAGGAGGCTAAACTAGCAGCTAACAGCAGAGTCAGTGGAGAATTGAAGCTCCTGGAAGTGCAGTGCGGACGCATCTCCTCCCCTGTGTGCGGTGCTTGTTAAGGTGAGTCCCACCTGTTCACTAACAATCAGCACCCCGATTCTTTCCAGCTTACCGAGGCTAACTGCTCCTAGCAGCAACCAACAGTTAGCTTCAGCGAGTGGCGCGAAATAAGTGACTTGTTTTTGGAAACAATCGCTTGGAATAGATGTGAATTTGAAACAGAATGCTCGGTTTTCCAGAAAATAGACTGAACCTTCAGTAATAACCTGGGTAATTCTAAAAGAAAACGTAACTAGTAAGGGGAAACTAGCTAGCATGCTAGTTCGCTAATGTAAAAAAACAAAACAAGTTTAATTACTTCCCAGCACATAGTTCATTTTATGGACTTTAGTTCCAGCAGATACACAGACCTGCAAATTTATCTGCTCACTGGAGAGTCTGCAAATTGGGAAGATGTGAAATGAGTGCTGGTAGGAGAGTAAAGTTTTTAGGTCAGACAGCTGAGAGTGTCGCAGCTGGTAAAATGTACTGCCAGTGAATCTTTGTGGTTTGGTTTGTTGGCTGAAGTGAGCTGTAACAGGGAGCACAGTGTTGTGGGATCGATGAGGGGCGTTATCAGTGTTTTAATGTGTAAGGAGGCGTGATGCTGCGCTGTGTTTCTGCAGTTTTTGCGGAGCCGCAATGACACAGCTGTTCTGAGCTGCCATATCTGAAGCAAAGCAAACCCCTCACGAGTGCTCACACTGCACACAGCCAAAGAAAACACTCAAATGCTTTATTCAGATTTTGTTTTAGCTTTTGTGTTTTTCACTTATTGTTGTTAGGGATCGTCTACAAAGACGTCAATCTCAGAATAAGGAGAAGCCTCCGGCCTCCACCCATCGGGTTGCTCTAAAGTGGGCTGTGTTGCTTTTCAGTTTTGT